CGGGTAGAAGTACTCTTCGCTCAGGTTGTTTTTACGTAGCTTAACCCAGGTAGAACCGTTTCACCTAGGGGGATCCAGCTCATAGTTTTCGGTAGAAGTACTCTTCGCTCAGGGTGTTTTACGTAGCTTAACTCAGGTAGAACCATTTCTCCTAGGGGATCCAGCTCCTAGTTTCCGGGTAGAAGTACTCTTCGCTCAGGGTGCTTTACGTAGCTTAACCCAGGTAGAACCGTTTCGCCTAGGGGGATCCAGTTCGTAGTTCCGGGTAGAAGTAATCTTTGCTCAGGTTGTTTAATACAGTTTAACTTAGATCGAACCTTTTTTCACCTAAAATGATTCAACACTTTATCAATAATACATGGTGCTAACACTCGATTCTATTTCCTTCTAGTAAGAGAAGGTACCAGCCCCTGATTACATTTCCTTTCAGTAGTACGGGATACCGATCCCTGGTTACACAATCATTCGTTACCAAATTTTATCTGTTTTAGCTAGTTTATACTACTATTTTTGTCTGCCTTTTCAATAAATTAAACAATTTACAGATTTCTCTAATAACTCACAAAATTTTTCTAGTGCCAGAGTGGGGCAGAATTTTTTTTTTGTTCGTTTTTGATGGTTTTGCAGGCTCGGCCGTATAGCACAAGTGAAGATTAAAGCTTGCAGTTTCAGTTTTTCATCAGAAGGAAAAAGGTTTTCGATCACAGGATAGTTGGAGTTAACTTTGACAATGTGTCAGTAACCCAGCTTCTCAAGATTCATCTTCTCAATTTCAGATCAGGAAAGCAAGCAACTGAAATTGAGTCATAATCGTTTCTTCAAAGAGTATCAAAATCCAATCTAAGGTCAACGCAAGTGAGCAGGTCAAGAATCAATATTTGACTCCAGAAGACGCATAGATAGGAATTTTGTACTCTTAGTTTGCAGACATATATAGTACTCTTCTCTTTTTCTTTTTTGATGTAAGAAGCTAGTAACAACAATAGCAATAGCGACAGCAACATCAGCAGCAGCAACAGTCTTAACTCTAGTGTCCGGTAGTCCCAACTACCAAATTTTTTCAGAACTACACTGACCTGATTCCTTTATAGCCAAGAATATGTAGGCAGCCTCGGAAGCAAGGTTCGGTCACCTTTTGTTTTCAAAAAAAAATTGCTTCCATTGGAGTGACATGTGAGCAAAAATTAGCTATGGCATTCACTTTTCTTTGCACGAAAACTCTTCATGTTCTCGAGCAAAGAGGGGCAGCTGTGAACACCTAATTTTTGCACTATTTTAACACCTCCTAAAGTTATTAGTGTTTTGTTATTTTAATTATTTTTCTCAATTTTTGTGACTTTAATTGCATATTTCCTATCATAAAATACTAAAAAAAAATAGTTCTTTCTTCATTTGTGCATTTTAAGAATTAACTAGCTGTTCAGCTGGTGAATTAATCTAGTTAATTGATCATTGGATTAAGTTATTTAATTAATTTATTTGTGTAAAATTAGTTTAATAAGTATGATTAAGGAAGAAATTTNCTCTTCTCTCTTCACTCTCTCTACGCCGCCCCAGCTCCGCCCACCGCCGCCGCCGGCAGACCACATCCAAACACCTATAAATTCACACCATGTAATCTCCACAACTTCCTCTTTCCATATCTCCAAACCAAATCCTTCAAAAATCCCCCAAATTCCTTGAATCTTAGATCTAGGAAACTTTTTCGTCACTTTTTTGCCCAAATTCTTGAAGCTCCAACCACTACCGCACCACAATACCTACATCAATGGATAGAGCTCCCCAAGACCTAGCTATTGATGCCAATTTTACCCTGAAAATCCGGCGACCAAAATCCGACCAAATTCCGGCGACCTCCTCGAACACCCTCTTTGGGCATACCACCATTTTTTCGGCCACTTGAATTATAAAATGGTAAAAATCCTATTCTTTTGTGGCTATTTTTTCTATTTTATTTTTATTTTTCAGATTTTATTTTTGTCTATTATTAATTATAGTTTTTGAAGTTTGAAATGTTAAATTTTCGGTTTTTTGCACTTGTTGAAGTAGTAAAATAGTTTTGTGTTGATAAAAGTGAGGTAGTGAAAAATACTTAAGAGTATATGGTACTTGTTTGATTGTTTATTTACTACTTCAAGACTCTTTGAGTACGACACTCAAAAGTCAAATTGTTTGGTAAGAAAATGTAGACCTTTGGACAGTGTTTGAATAAATGTGTATCTTTGAATAGTGGAGATCAGATTTTGTTTGAAATACTTGACAAGATTTGAACCAGAAAGTCTGACATTTTGAATTTAAGAGCAGATTTTGTAGAAAAATCTGTCAAAAAGATTGATTTTTAATTTTTTTGAAATAGCTGATTGTTTTGATATAAAAGGAGGACACTCCATCTTACTGAGGGAGCTCTAGACACACAAAAAAAGAAAAAAAATCAGTAGCTATAATATCCTTTAGCAGCTTTTGCGAGTTGATTCTTAAGTGGAAAACTTGTTTAAGGAAAATAGAGTAGTCTTGAAAGATTTTTCTGGAGTTACATAATTGTACTGTTTTGCTAGGGTATTTCTAGTTTATTTCTTGGGTTTGAATCTGCCGGTTGTCGCTGTTTTTTGCTGTTGTTGCTGCCCGTTTAATTGTTTTGCTGTTGATTTTGGAAAGAGCTGACCCCGCTGTATTTGTTCTTCTTTCTGTTGTCCAGGTAATTTTCGGACCATGTAAACTCATAAAATCGAGTTGAAATGAAAGATAATGACGCTGGAAATATTAGTAGTTTTATCCTTCTATTGTAATTCATTTTTATATGCTCTTGAATGTTTGATAATGTTATAACGATATGTTAGTTAATTAAATTGTGTTAAGCATCTTTAATTATTTTTATTTTTGCAAAGCATTAGATATAATTCCACTGGCATTTGGTTGTCTGAAAGGAGCATATATATTAAAATTTGAACCCTTGTAGCCATGTTTGTCCCTTTGTTGTCACCAAGCTAAGTTTTTATTATTATTATTATTATTATTATTATTATTATTATTATTATTATTATTATTATTATTATTATTATNTTAAGTTTTTTTTTTTTTATTATTATTATTATTATTATTATTATTATTATTATTATTATTATATTTTAGAGTCCCAATAATCTTTTTTTTATCTCTTAAAAAATACTTATTTAGTAAGATAGTTAAGTTGTAGATTAGAAAGACAATCTGCAAACTTATTTTTGTAAATAGTTGGCTACGGATTGCAAATAGCAAGATATGACTAAATCTGTAACATAGCTTTAAAAGGCCATATCTGCAGATTTAAAGTCCAAAAGCATATGGGCTTTTGGATTTTGTCTTGGACATGAGCCCATTTGACTCCATCAACCCAATAGTGGGCTGCCTCATTCAATGTCAAGACAAGCCCACATCTTACTAGTTTTAAGCAATGTCAATTGATAATTTTCTCTCATTACTCTCATCTTTTAAATTAGTACTCATAACAACAATTTTCTCTCATTAGTTAAGTTGTAGATTATTATTCAAATCTTTTCTTTAATTTTTTTTTAAAAATAAATAAAAACGGACATAAGAAAAGCATAAAAATCAAATAAACCACAGTTTATCCAAGTTTAATTCAAGCCAAATGTAGTCAATAAAGCGACCGTGCTAGAACCACGGGACTCAGGGAATGCCTTACACCTTCTCCCCGGTCAACAGAATTTCTTACCCGTACTTTATTTTCGCAGACCAATAATAATAGAGTCAAACCTTCCTTTGAATAGGGATTCAAATAAAAGGTGACTTGGAACACCAGTAGAAATCAATTCCAAGTGGCGACTCTGTAAATTAAATAATCCCTACTTCAAATTTGTTACTTTAATTGGAAAAGCTCTTTAACCCACAATCCATAATATTTTACACTTATCTCTTGGAGGGGTAAAAAGGGGTGTCACAAACCGCAATCATGCAATCTCAAATGCGGTGAATCTAATGCAAAAAAAAAGATACAACTGTAGCAACTGAGATGGACATACTATTAATGAGTATGGTAACACTGGCTCGTCTTTGGAGTCTGGTTAATTTAGTAAAGCAGAAGACCAACTAAAAGCCACTAAAGAATCATTTTTGTCTGGCATTATAAAGAATAGCTTCAAAGAATTCACCTGATCGGATCGTTCTGCTGAGCCAAAAAGCCAATACTACAAGTTAACTGGTATTTTATACCAAACAGTCAATTATAAAGGTCGATTAAAAATTAAAAATCTAATACTATAATGGAATGTGGTTTTATGGAAAATAATAATTTTCAGGGGAAGAAGAAAGAGAGAAGAAAGAGAATAAAAAATAATAAGTAAAAAGGGGGCTGGATGGGGTATAAAATTGGGGTGGAGGAGTGGTGGGATCTTGAAAAAAGGGGGATATATATTAATTCAAAAAATGAGGTAAAATTATATTTGAAATTTAAAAATTGGGCATGTTAGTGAAAAAGCGCAAAAACGTGCCTAAATTGTCACGGCTGGGGCATTTATGCTACCAACTTTTAACCCAGGGTATAATTGTTTATTTCTTATAGTACAAGGACAATTTTGGCCCTTTTTTCTAAAGAATACTAATATATTGTTCTCCATCAAAATTTTCTGGTCTCACATCTTTGTACTACTAAAGATAGTCATTCACCACATGTAGGACTTTATTGTGGACTTAGGGAGCTGAATTGTCAAAGACTTGGAGGGATAAAGTGTATTGGCAAAGAACTGCAGGTGGCTACAACATTTTGAATATAGAGATATGGAACGAGCATCTATATGCAAGTTGCTGTAAACTTTAAATAGCGAGAAAGACAAATTTTGAGTTCAATATGTTCATATATAAAGGTAAAATAAGACAGATACGACAAAAAGAACCAAAGCAAGCCTCTTAGATGCTACTGAAGATTATTAAAGCTAGACAATACATTGGAGCTACTATAATGGACATAACTAAACTACAACAAAATTCTAATCATAAAGATAAACCAGTTGCAACAATCATGCACTTCCAAAGTGGTTGTTCAGCATGAACCTGGCAACTTGGAGCATGTTGGGTGCAAAAGATAAAATTGGCTAAATAGGGTATTGTGAATGATCAAATGTAAGATTTGTTGTCAGGAGCAGAATGATCCAATGTACATCTTTTCCTACTCAATTGTAGCACATGTTACTTCAATAACAAAGTATTACCATACCTATTTTGACATGGCAAGAGGAATTATATTGATATGGTATATTGTGATAAAAGGTAAATTTGATATAGCTGAAATTTATAGGATAGTCGTTGCAAGGTGTGCGTACGTACTACCCATAACATGAGAGGAATCAAAGAGAGTTTCAAAGTAAACATACAACTACAAGGGTGATTGCTAAATAGGTAATTCAAGATATGTTTTGTAAGAGAAGCGCCGAGGGTCTATCGGAAACAACCTCTCTGTCCTATCGAGATAGGAGTAAGGTCTGTGTACACATTACCCTCCCCAAACCCCATTTGGTGAGATTTTATTGGGTAGTTGTTGTTGTTGTTTTGTAAGAGAAGCATGAAGCCTACACTAACAAGAAGACTTGATAGTTTAAACTTTTATCCATGATTATACTGACTGTTGTAAGGGCCTTTAATAGGATGATATTTTTGTAGTTGCTGAGAATTGAGGATGTTTTTGCTTAATTAATTGCTTGAGTTTTTTTTTTCCAGATCTAAATATTGTTTTTTTTGATTTCTTGAGTTGTTGTAGCTTATAATAATTGTTGAAAAGTCTACCCAAATGAGCAGCCGACTAAATTTCAGGTCTTTCTGNGGGAGGGAGGTATTTATAGTGTTAGAGAAGGTTAGTTTGGTAAATTAAAAAAAATAACTATTTGTGCAATATGGCCATTGGTGGTCATTGGGGGTGGGGCCCTCATTTTGAATTTTGAAAAATCTTGTTTTGTAGTATATATAGTATACTAGTATAGTATATATAAGAGATCTGTAACAAAAGAATAATTTATCTTTTTATGGTACTGAAACAGCTAGATCTGGATGGCCGTGTGCGGACTACCGCCCACCTACCCTGATCCTGGTGTAAATGGTATCGGTATTTGTTTATTTTAATTTTTATAAGTATTTAATTACTTTATTTCTCTCCCCAGCCGTGACTATGTCCGGCTAAACGGATTCATATCTATGTTGAAGAACTAATTTCTCTTGCATATTAACCATGAAGAATCCAGACTATTTCAAAATNGGTCATTGGGGGTGGGGCCCTCATTTTGAATTTTGAAAAATCTTGTTTTGTAGTATATATAGTATACTAGTATAGTATATATAAGAGATCTGTAACAAAAGAATAATTTATCTTTTTATGGTACTGAAACAGCTAGATCTGGATGGCCGTGTGCGGACTACCGCCCACCTACCCTGATCCTGGTGTAAATGGTATCGGTATTTGTTTATTTTAATTTTTATAAGTATTTAATTACTTTATTTCTCTCCCCAGCCGTGACTATGTCCGGCTAAACGGATTCATATCTATGTTGAAGAACTAATTTCTCTTGCATATTAACCATGAAGAATCCAGACTCTTTCAAAATATAAAGGAATTTTAATATAGTTTCTTGGCTTGGTTCCAAGATGGTGGTACAGTCGACTCTGGTACTACTCTTATTGGCTTTGCCTTAGTGGCTACGTCTAGCCAGCTGTGACATTAAAGCCCGCTGAAGTTGTCAAAAGAGCTATCCCTTTCACAGTTAGAACTGCTAGACACATGGGCTAAGAGTATGTATCGGACAGTCTCTTAAGCAAAATCAAATGATTTGCGATCATCGAATTACGCAAATTGAGAAAAATAATTCTCTGCCTGAATTTTCGACGAAAGAAATTTCTGAATTTTCTAATGATAAAGGAAAAGAGATTTCTGATCTGACTGAAGAAAAATCTAATATGTTTTTAGGTATGATGCAAATTATTACCGCGCATAAATGGTATATTAAATGTACTATTTTGATCGATAATAATTTTTCTATAACTGATGTAGCCATGATTGATAGTGGTGCTGATGTAAGCTGCATTCAGGAAGGATTAATTCCAACTAAATATTTTCAAAAGACCACTCACCAGGATCAGGGCAGGCGGGCGGTAGTCCGCACACGGCCATCCAGATCTAGCTGTTTCAGTACCTTTGAAGGTTGGCGGTAGTCCGCACGACCAGTAAAGATTTGAAATATACGGGAATATTATTATAGTCTTAATGACTGTATGGAAGGATCTATCCTTTTACCCAAGCAAGGGGCCTGTCTAGGTCCGATACATACTCTTA